TCCATAAAAGAAGCTATGGGATTTTTTACCTTCCCTGGCGTCACGGTTCACACCAATCCTATTAAGTTGAATCCATGCAATCTTCAGCTTCATACATAATCCTATCTCGACTCACATTTTGATAGGCAATTTCATTTATATGTCTTCCTGCATGTCAAATGAGAGCAATTGAGATAGACATATTTTGACATGAAAGTCACACTTTTCGTGTAATAAAATGTGGTTTTGCTCCTTTGCTTCAGAGTTTAATGTATTCGCCTCCTGCAGGTCGAGAATACACTCCATCCTGTATGCAAGCAGCCATCTTGGATACATGAAAAAATGTAATCGGATGAAATGTAAAGCATTACACTCAATGCTATTTACTCAACCAATACGGCAGAAGGTGATGAAGGAGTGACAGTCAAATTTTGCAACAATCATAGCAGTAGACCCAACGATGTCAGTCGATTTAACTTGGCCTTGCCTGGATGGGAAATTCGGACGGAATGTGTAGGTGGCATGAGTATATATATCCGATTTGAGTAGTATTTTGAGATTCTCAGTAGATCTTAAATAAGAGCTTTGGCCACCAAAGGTCACTTTAAAGTGATGACAAACAATGGCACGACGTCAAAACTGCAGTCCACTCTGCGTGATAGTGTCTCTTTCGGGAAACAAAGCAAAGCAAAATAAAATGGCGTCCGGATGGCTTTACACTAATTTTGGGAAAATTCATTAGCAATATTCCGTTAACTCAAAAGAATTATTCAAGATATACTTACCGGTAGTCTCTAATTCCTCATTCAAAACGAATATCTGTACTTATACCCCTTACACATTCGCTCCCGGTTATTATACTTGGAAATAATAGTTCTCTTCAACCGTGATGACACAAGTGATTAGTTAATATAAAAATTTTCCTACATTCATATGAATAGGCCTCACGCTTCCGTTAAATTTCACTTAACCTTTCTCCCCAAATGGTATTTTAATCCAGGATTAATTGCAGTTTTGATGTCATCTCACTGTAATAATTTTCACTATCAGTTATTAATCACCTCAAACGACCTAGAATGACTAAAGACTTAATGCAAGATTTAGTGTTAAAACATAAATACTACTTACTTTGAATTCAAGTAGCATTGTTTAATTTAATAACAAAGATATATTTTCACCTAAGCGACAATCCCACAATAAAAATGTGATATCTAAAAGGTCCAGCCTGACTTCAACTCTACTTCTGTCCTCAAGGCATTCTGACGCAGCGGTAGCATGTTATAATTATATGAACTACCACAAATTTGGCTCTATTTCTGGTGAGGGTACTGATGAGACCTAGGCGAGATCGAAACTGTAGTCTTTCTTGGATGAGAATATCTTTTAGGAAGCAAGGCTAAATGAAACTCAATTTCATCCCGAAGTTTAATTATCTCAATGTGGGAGTTGCATCACCTTAAGCAACCTAGACGTACTAAAGCTCTTAGAGACGTATAGATTTTTCAAATAACTATCAGATTTTCAACAATCAGGACAGGAAGCTATTTGCCAACAGTTGAGAAAATCTTCAATACTTGTGTACTGTCGTTAAGATTGAAAGTAAGTTTCGGCACTATAGGTCCTATTGTGACCATATTTACTGATAGCCATGCTGCCTACTTAATGTGAATATAAGTAGTGTTGTTGATTGTGGTGGCAAAATAGAAGTTTGCCTCACCAAAAAATGCCAGTAGGCAAGGCCTGCTCTCTGATTTATTGTAACTCGTGGCCGGGATGGAATCGAGACTGCAGTCTAGCCCATCCGGGATAAGAATACGTTTTTGGAAGGTATGACTACATGCAATACAATGAAAGGGTAGGGACTATTCGTATGGTTGTGAGAAAATTCAACCGTCAGATCATAAATAGGTGCACTAGACAGACATAATTCCTGACCTGTATGGCTTTTCTCCGGTATGGATGCGCTCGTGTTGTTGGACATGACTGAGTTGTGTGAAACGGCGTTCACAAAAGCGACAACCATACGGCCGAAGGCCGATGTGAATTCGTCTGTGCTGAGTGAGATAGGCTGAAGTGGAGAATTGTCGAGTGCAGTGGTCACACTGATAGGGACGCTGATGGCCCAGGTCCAGTTTGTGGGCACTGGAGTTGTGACGAGTAAGATCATAGCGGGAAAAGCAGAGCTGAAAGTGTATGAATTAGGCATACAAATGGAGAGATAAAACCAAGAAAAAGGAGTATTATTATTTAATTGTAATCGTCAGCGGCGGCTTTTGTGTGGAATCTACAGTCTGTGGCTGGTAGAATGCTTAGCGGGGCGTTGTGGAAAGAGAAAACAATTCAACCTAATTTACTATTTTTATTTCATTTTTAATGGGACGAGTGAAACTGCTTTAAATCCAAGTTAACTGCAATAGCTTTTACGGGAAGTAAAAGGAAACAAACACTCCATAAAAAATGTATTCATCTTATGTTGTTTTAGCTTATGAAGAACTGGTAGATGATCTACCGTTACTCTTGAAGGCCTGCTTAAAATCATGCTGAATTCTTCGAGGTGGCAAGAAAACGCAACTAGTTTGCGCTTACTTTTATGCATTCATTCCTTCTTTTCAAAAGTTCGGCTTCGTCATTAGCAAAACGCCCCATTTTGGACCCTATTATGTTGCTTCCTGTACATTCTACATGTGCAACAAGTTCGAATTATTGTACCCAAGCGATTTTATGTTGTGATAATATCTCCCGAAAGAGTCGGCAGGCCTTCTCCACATACAGAAATTGTGTGCTATATGAGCACAAAATCGGGTGCCCTCATTATTCTGAACGAGGGC